ATCCGAGGTGAACCTCCTTCGGGACCAATTTCAGAAGGAGATAGAAGATCTCAAGCGGTCGTGCAGGCCTGTAGATATGCATCGTGTGGTCGAGCAAGATGAACCACCTTTCTCCCAAGCAATCTTGGACGTACCTATCCCGCCGAGGTTCAAGGCTCCGGTCATGAGCTCCTATGACGGGTCCGGAGATCCAATCTCTTACAAAGAGGTGTTCGAGCGAAAGATGGATTTGTTGGCCGCAAGTGACGCCATGAAGTGTCGAGCATTCCAAATAGCTTTGGAAGGCTCAGCAAGGTTGTGATACTGACAGCTAAAGCCCAGATCCATCGACAGTTATCAACATCTGAGAAGGTTGTTCATCAATCAGTTCTCAGCTCGGCAGTTGTTGAAGTTGCCATCCTCGCACCTCGGAACAGTGAAGCAACGGGATAATGAGTCCCTGACGGAGTACATCACTCGGTTCATGGACGAGCACGTTAAGATGGTGAGTTGTACCGACGACATCGCCATGATGTACTTCACCACAGGGTTGAACGACAGAAATCTGACGATAGAGTTCGGGAGCCGTTCACCGGCCTCCGTGAACAAGGTGTTTATCCGAGCTCAACAATACATTGATGGCCTGGAGTTGTGGAAGGCCAATAGAGCTTGGTGGAACCACCGCGGTAAAGATTGGGACCAGAAGTCCCCACCTCTCAAGAAGCAACATGGTGATGATCGGAGCTCGTCTCGACGGGCCGACGACAACAAGAATATAGGCTGTCGCGACGAGAGAGTCCCTTCAGATCGTCAAGGGCTGAAGTTCGATAGGTTCACTCCGCTGAACGCCTTAATCGCGGAGATCTACACGGCAGCTGAAGAACCGACTAGGAAGCGCTATTTGCAGCCTCACAAAAGCTTCGCCGACCTTTAGAGAAGCGAGACAAGCGACTCTACTGCCGATTCCATAAGGACCACAGCCACGACACTTCTCGTTGCTTCCATTTCAAGGAGCAGGTTGAGGATTTGATTCGGCGAGGTTATTTGAATAAGTACGTCGGCAGCAGAGAAAAAGCTGAGCTAGAAGGATCAGCTCGGTAGGAGAAGCGAGAAAGGTCACCACCGCCCAGGCGAAAGGAAGATCGTCTTGCTTAAACACCATTCACGGGGGTCTGAGCGGGAGACAGTCAGGGCAGAAAAGAAAGGTTCTAGCCCGGGAAGCAGCGTATGAGGTCTGTACCTTGTACCCCAAGGAGTCCATGATGCCGATCTTATTTGACGAGCAGGATAGAGAACGGGTACATATGCCTCGTAACGATGCTTTAGTAATCGCGCCATTGATAGACCACGTGAAGGTCAGAAAAGTTCTTGTCGACGGTGGGGCGTCGGCTAATATACTGTCTTTCTCGACCTACACGGCCTTGGGGTGGGAAAGAAGACACTTGAAGCGCAGCCCGACGCCTTTGGTCGGCTTCGCAGGGGAGTCAGTTAGCGCGGAAGGATGTATCTCTCTCCCTGTCATCGTCGGCGAAGGAGATCAGTAAGAGACCAAAGTCGCAGAGTTTGTTATAATAGATCAAAGTTCGGCGTACAACGCCATACTTGGTCGGCCTCTGATTCACGACCTCAAAGCGGTCCCGTCCACTCACCATCAAGTGTTGAAGTATCCGGCCCCGGCTGGAGTCACAACAGTTCGAGGAGAGAAAAAACATCGAGAAAATGCTACACAACTGCAATGAAAGGGACTGCCACTTGCGCGGCAATCATGGAGCTAGAAACAACTGCACCACCACGTACCGACGAGGCAGAGCCCAGCCGCGGCACTCCAGCAGAAGAGCTAGAACTTGTACCCTTGATGGGACCAGATAAGCAGGTCAGTGTCGGTAGCAGACTAGAGGCCGAGGTGAAGGAAGAGCTCGTCGATTTTCTGAAGGCGAATTCTGACGTGTTCGCATGGTCTCAGCATCGACCCAAGTATAATGGTGCATAGGCTTAACGTAGATCCTAACTATAGGCCTATGAGGCAAAAGCGTCGGCCCGTCGACGCCGAGCGAAGTAATGTAATTTGTAAATAAGTCGAGCAGTTGCTATGAGCTAATTTCATAAGAGAAGTTCACTACCCCGCGTGACTGTCAAATGTTGTTTTAGTTAAAAAATCTAAGGGCAAGTGGCGTGTTTGTCTTGACTTACGAGCCTCAACAAGGCGGGTCCGAAAGACAGTTTTCCACTACCTCGAATAGATCAGCTCGTCGACGAAACAGTAGGGCACGAGCTACTCTCCTTCATAGACGCCTACTCTGGGTATAACGAAATTTGGATGTACGCACCCGACCAAGGGCACACCGCATTTGTTACCGACCAAGGTCTGTATTGCTACAACGTCATGCTTTTTGGTCTGAAGAACGTCGGGGCGACCTACCAGCAGACGGTCAACATGATGTTCGCCAAGCAGATCGGACGCAACATGGAGGTGTATGTGGACGACATATTGGTGAAGAGCAAGCAGACGAGCTCGCATTTAGCCGACCTGGCAGAGGCCTTCTGTAACACCCCGGGTCCCTCAGGTTAGTTAGTCTCGAATCAGGAGATTTTCTTTTATTTTAAATTAAACTTTAATTAAATTTATATATATATCGGGCTCCGTGTGGTTGGTTTTGTCTTAAGTTGGAATGGATTTATTTTCTCTTGGGCTTGGTCATGTTGGGCCTTTTAGGTTGGTTTGGTTTTAAAACAAAGGAAAAGAAAGTTAATAAAAAGAAAAGAAAAGAAAACACATAGGGTTTTTCCATCTTCTTCTTCCTTCTTGCCCTAGCCGCCATCACCCCCCCTTGTTGAGTTTCTTCTCCGGCGACCACACCTCACGGCGGCAACTGTAGCGGCGGCGTCTCCTCGAACCAGTAGC